AGGACATCAAAGCTGCTGAAAAGAGAGGCCGTGGAAACTCAACAATAATGGGAGCAAATATTGTTGAAGAGAACAAAAAGAGGAAGAAGGCTTCTGGACCGAAATACAACCCAAGCAAGAAGCGGTTCAGTGAAAACTGCTACAACTGTGGAAAAATCGGACACAAATCTACGGAGTGTCGTGCTCCGAAGAAGGACAAGAAGAAGGGTCAAGCAAACATGGTTGAAAAGCATGATGATGTTGATGACTTATGTGCCATGCTTTCCGAATGCAACTTGGTAGGCAATCCTAAAGAGTGGTGGATAGATTCTGGAGTCACTCGCCATGTTTGTGCTGTTAGAGAAGCTTTTGCTACTTATGCTCCTGTTGGACCCGATGAGACGATTTCTATGGGAAATGCTTCAAAGGCCAAGATTGAAGGATGTGGGAAGATATTTCTCAAAATGACTTCCGGCAAAGTGGTGACTTTGAACAACGTCCTTCACATTCCCGAGATTAGGAAGAATTTAGTCTCTACTGGACTTCTTGCTAAGAATGGTTTTAAATGTGTTTTTATTTCCGATAAGGTTGAAATAAGTAAGAATGAAATGTTTGTAGGAAAAGGTTACCTCACTGAGGGCCTTTTCAAGCTGAATGTAATGGTTGTTGAAAATAATAATAAAAATTTCAGCTTCGTCTTACTTACTTGAGTCAAATGAATTATGACATATACGTTTGGGTCATGTCAATTATAAAACCTTACGGAAAATGATTAATTTGGAAGTATTGCCCAAGTTTGAATGTGACAAATTAAAATGTCAAGTATGTGTGGAATCTAAGTATGTCAAACATCCTTATAAGTCAGTTGAAAGGAATTCAAATCCTTTAGACTTAATTCACACAGATATTTGTGACATGAAGTCAATACCATCTCGCGGTGGAAAGAAGCATTTCATAACTTTTATTGACGATAGTACTCGATATTGCTATGTTTACTTACTTAATAGTAAAGATGAAGCAATAGACGCATTCAAGCAATACAAAAGTGAAGTTGAAACGCAACTTAACAAGAAAATCAAAATGATAAGAAGTGATAGGGGTGGTGAATATGAATCTCTTTTTGAAAAAATATGTTTAGAATATGGAATTATTCATCAAACAACGGCCCTTTACACGCCCCAATCCAATGGGATTGCAGAAAGAAAGAATCGTTCATTAAAGGAGATGATGAACGCATTATTGATATGTTCTGGTTTGCCACAGAACTTGTGGGGGGAAGCCATTCTTACGGCTAGCCGAATACTAAATCGAGTACCCCATAGCAAAACACAATCCATTCCATATGAAAAATGGAAAGGAAGGAAGCCCAACTTGAATTATTTTAAAGTGTGGGGGTGTTTGGCAAAAGTGCAAGTTCCTAAACCCAAAAGGGTAAAAATAGGACCGAAAACCGTTGATTGTGTTTTCATAGGATATGCAACTAATAGTAAAGCATATCGATTTCTGGTTCATAAATCAGAAAATCCCGACATTCATAATAATACGGTTATAGAATCAGATAATGCTGAGTTCTTTGAAAATATATATCCGTATAAAAAGGAATGTGAGTCGATTGGTGAAGGATCTAAACGACCTCGGGAAGAAACAAAAGAAAGTACACTTAACCAGGAGGATCCAAGACGTAGTAAATGTCAAAGAACGTCTACTTCATTTGGACCAGATTTTGTGACTTTCTTATTGGAAAATGAGCCTCAAACATTTAAAGAAGCTATGTCTTCTTCGGAATCATTGTTATGGAAAGAGGCGGTCAATAGTGAAATAGAATCCATATTGAATAACCATACATGGAAATTGGTTGATCTTTCTCCTGGAAATAAACCGTTGGGTTCTAAATGGATCTTTAAGAGGAAAATGAAAGATGATGGAACTATTGACAAATATAAGGCAAGACTTGTGGTCAAAGGGTATAGACGACGAGAAGGTCTTGACTATTTTGAAACATACTCTCCAGTTACAAGAATTACGTCCATACGAATGTTAGTAGCGTTAGCTGCAGTTTATGGTCTTGAAATTCATCAAATGGATGTTAAGACAGCCTTCTTAAATGGAAAGTTGGAGGAAGAAATCTACATGGAACAACCTGAAGGGTTTGTGGTTCCAGGTAAAGAAAAGAAGGTCTGTAGATTTGTTAAGTCCCTTTACGGACTAAAACAAGCACCCAAACAATGGCATGCTAAATTTGACCAAACAATGTTGTCAAATGGATTTAAGATAAATGAATGCGATAAATGTGTGTACATTAAAAATGTTCCAAATTACATAGTCATTGTTTGCTTATATGTGGATGATATGCTCATAATGAGTAATGACATTGCCAACATAAATGCTACTAAGCGTATGCTAACTAGCAAGTTTGATATGAAAGACTTGGGAATTGCTGATTTAATTCTGGGAATTAAGATCCATAAGACTTCTCAAGGTCTAGCATTGTCACAATCTCATTATATTAAGATAGTACTTGAAAAATTCAAGCACTTGGGCTTCAAAGGTGCAAAGACTCCAATTGATGTGAATCTTGCATTAGCAAAGAACAAAGGCCAAAACATATCACAATTGGATTATGCTCGTGTGTTGGGTTGCTTAATGTACATCATGAATTGTACACGACCAGATATAGCTTGTGCTATAAGTAAATTGAGTCGATATACGAGCAATCCAGGTCAATCTCATTGGATGGCCATGAAACGAGTTTTGGGGTATTTAGTACATACCCAGGACTTTGCTTTGCACTACAGTAAATATCCTGCGGTCAATGAGGGATACTGTGATGCAAATTGGATCACCAGATCAACTGATTCCAAGTCCACAAGTGGATATGTTTTCACTATTGGTGGAGGAGCGGTATCTTGGAAGTCGTCCAAACAAACTTGTATTGCCCGCTCTACAATGGAGGCTGAGTTCATAGCCTTGGATAAAGCCGGTGAAGAAGCTGAATGGCTCCAGAATTTCTTTGGAGATATTCCATTTTGGCCCAAACCGTTGGCACCAATATGCATACATTGTGATAGTCAAGCGGCAATTGGAAGGGCTGGGAGCGTTATGTATAACGGTAAATCTCGTCATATACGACGAAGACATAAAACCGTTAGACAATTACTCTCTAGAGGAATTATCACGATTGACTATGTAAAGTCAAGTGATAATGTATCGGATCCACTTACAAAAGACCTAACTAGAGAGGTAGTTGAGAAGTCATCAAGGGGAATGGGACTGTGGCCGAGAACAAGTCATAGTGGCGGTAACTCTACCTAGAAGACTGGAGATCCCAAGATCTAGGTTCAAGGAGATCAAACAAAGTCATTAATGACGGTTCAACATTGTCAACTAAACTTTTGGTCCATTCTTGTGATGAGACAATGTTCAGTACCAAGGATAAAGCATTAAGGCTTTTTAATGATTTCTAAATTTGATACGGGGTATACCAAATAGTGTATCTACGGGATGACACGCTTAGGAATCACCTATGTAAGTGTGAAGTGTTAGCCGCTTCAAGGAGAACTTTGTAAGGCCAGTTCTCTACGCATTTATGAAACCAGGCGGTGTTCATGGATGAAACGAACACAACAATGAGAACCAAAGACGGTTAATGGTTGGTTATGTGACTTGTGGTTGTCTAGGTATACACAAGTTCGACGGTTCAAAGATATCAAATCTACCGATTGATCGAGTATATCCGACATAAGTTCACTACGGAAAGTTCAAAGGGAAACCTACTTATCCAGATGCAATTAATCTTGATTGCGAATCACACAGTTTTTCATGCATACATCCGTGATATAGCCATTCCCCATTCATGTGGGGGATTGTTGGGATTTTTATGTATTTAATTAATATATTAAATACTTAAAAGAGGGTGAATGGGAAATGGAGGAAAATAAAATTTTTGAGTGAAATTTTAAGTTTTCCCCCTTGGCAAATGGATATTGTCCCATATTGGAAGAGGAAGAGGTTTTTTATGGGTATATAAGCAATTGCTCTTCTTCTAGCTCTTAAAGAGTTGGGAAGAAGGCAAGCCTCGCGTCGTCGTCGTCGTCGCTCGCTCGGCTCGGCTTCGGCTACGGCTTCGAATTCGGATTCGGATTTGGTCAAATGATCAATTGATTGCTTAACTTTTTGGACCAAATTTATTTGTTAATAGTAAAATATTAACAGAAATGTTATTAAATATTTGTTTTAATAACAGAAAATTAATATTAAATATTAATATTAAATTCAATCCGTTTTTCTGTTTTGGTAACAGAAAAGTAACTACCCTCTTCAATTTTCCCTCTTTATTGTTGAGTAAATGGCTATTTATGTAATGACATTTATGCTGTGGCCGTTTTGCATAAACAGCCATTCTGAAGAGTTGCACCTCTTCAGATTTCAGCCCAACTTTGGCTATAAATACAACACTATTCTGCTCAGAATTTCACTACGATTTTCTGAGTTTCTCCTCCTTCTTTTGCATACTTTTAGCATCAAACAAAGCAACAGTAAGTGTGATTTGCTACCGAACTTTGTGTTCGCTGAAACACTGGGGTTTGAAGTACCACTACACCAGTGTGTAATTCGTTCTATCCTGGGAGGAAATAATGCATAACCTTGGGTACTAGGAGGGGATTAAATTCCTTAAGGAAACACTGTGAATTCAGTGGGCTCGAATTGGTTTTTTGTTATTTCGTTGTTCAATTCTGTTTATGTTCATTTATATTTCCAGAATTATTTTACAAATACAGTATACTAACAGTTATATACTAGGGTGAAAACTTATGCACTAAAGTATTTACACAAATCTAAGGAATACATAGCATATATTTTTGTTATATGTACTTATATATTTAGGAGTTATTCTTTTTTGGGTCAAGTTTAAGGTCTATTTTTTTTTTTAATTATGATAAACTACTTAACTGAATTTATTATCATAATAAATTAATACTATAACTTATTTGTGCAAGTGTTTAGCACAGAGTCGGGGAGAGCAATTGCTTTAACACACACCACCACTGGGCGAGTCCATATGCACCGTTCCAGTTTCACGGATTGGTGAACCAAAAATACTGCCAATTCTCGAGGCAATGAGAAACGTCTTACGCGAAAAACTCACAGCAGAGACGGTTTTACTTTTTTTTTTGGAGAGGGAGGTGAAACTATGAAAATTTTTCATTCATTCAATTCGCATTGCTGGAACAAAAGGCAAAGGAGCCACTGCTTCATTCCTCTCCAAATTGTTGAATGCAGAAGGCTACTTTGTTGCTATACTAGGTAATTTTGTTTATGATTTTATTTATTTATTTATTTAGTATGAGCTTTTGTCTATTGAATAGAAGATGTTTTGTCTATAGCCGGTTTGATTTTTGAGAATCTACGTCTCAGTCATTTTCAGGGGATTTTCCTTTCTTTGAAATACCATCGGTATTATTGTTTGCTGAAGTCTTAATTAATGGTTTCTATTTCTGGTTTTGATTTTAGATTTTAGCTTTCTCGTTCCTTTGAAGAAATTATTAGCTAAGAGCCTAGGACTTTCATGTTTTTAGTAAAGTCTCGTCATTTTTCCTCAATTGGGAGAGGCACTCACTGCTGTGACTGTAAGCCTATTTGCTGAAGGAAGTGTTGAAATTGCAGTTATGAAGTTCAAAGATGTTTACTTGATTTTTTCCCTCGTATACTATATTTTATATATAGCAGGTATATGTTTATTCATTTATTTATTTCAGATAGTATATGTTTATCCTGAAGGAGAGACTTGGCGTAACCGATAAAGTCGCTGCCATGTGACCAGCAGGTCACGAGTTCGAGCCGTGGAAACAGCCTCTTGTGGAAATGTAGGGTAAGGCTGTGTACGATAGACCCTGTGGTCCAGCCCTTCCCTGGACCCCGCGCATAGCGGGCGCTTAGTGCACCGGGCTGCCCTTTTTTAGTATATGTTCTTGCTGCTGATGTTGTTTATTGGAATACAAGTTTAGACCTTAGTAGATAATTTGGTCTTCCTTTATAAATACAAAATTTTCTTTGCCACTTGTGTTTCCATCTATTTTATCTCTTCTACAATCATACAGGTTGGATTAGGATGGACACGAGATGCAATAAATGTTACACTTGATTCATCCTTTTAGTTGAATACTACTCAAAGGTTTAGCCTAATATGTTCGTTACTTTCTTGTGGTGGCATGTGTTTTCAGACACGAGGCTATTGGTTCATGCCCCAGATTATACTTTGCTAATTCCATCCTCAAAATTTCGGTTATTGTTATGCAATACAAACTTTATCCAGTTTCATGTTGAATGGAATTACTATGACCTGCCATTAACTTGTAATGATTGACGATTAAAGCGCTTCTAGAACTTTTTATCAAACATCTGATCATGTTCATGTCTTTGAAAAATTACTCTTTTTGAAGTTATAGTCGAAAAGTACTTTTCTAGAAGTTATAATACTACTATACAGGTAGCTAGTCTTATATTCTCAATGATAAATGCAAGCACGTCAAAAGATGCAACTTCTATATGTACTCAGTGAGTACTACTCACCAAGTTGTCTCCTCGTTTTCTTACTTCATGGTTTAAACCTTTAGGCTCATCTTCAATTTTGTGATCGCTAGAGAATCATTATCTGCTTAATGTGATTAGTCCAGCGGGTTATTTTCTTGGAGTTTTAACGTCTTAGACGCTGGTATTATTTTCATTATGTCTTCCTGCATCAAGGTGTACAAAAGCTTAGACACTTGTGTTTGGTTACCATTTCTCATGGCTGTCCTAATTTCCAAGTTAATTTAATCTCATCTTATTTGCTGTTGGATAGATTATGCTTTGTTTGTTTAACTAGTTAAACATTTCAGCTGGTTTTAGGAGGTCTTTTCCTTTGGCATATTGAGTACACTCCTCGTAGGAAATGTCTTCACCTATAGTATTAGCATCTGATCCTGGAAATGAAAGGGTATTGAGAGGCTTCTATGAAGTGAGTGGCACACTTATCAATTGTCCGAGATAGTGATCCAATGACTTACTGTTGGGGATGCACTAATTTTCATAGGTTGTTCATGCATGAAAGAATAAGTCTCTATCTTTTTCTTAATTCCAGTCTGTTAATATAACAAAAATGCAATTGCCTGCATTTTCACAAATAGTGTAGTCGATTAACTTCTTGATGTGAAATTATTCATTCTTGGATCTATTTTTGAAAATATTTTAACTGCTACATGTGCAGCACTGCGCCTTAATAAGCAAGGTTAGGACTCAATTTCTTTACTCATCACTTCAATAACAAATTCAAGTGGTCAGTTATTAGCTTGAGATGTATATTTATTCATTAAATTACAAATTCAAAACTCTTCGACTCCTTCGGATATGGAGATTCTGCATGCTTGTTTTTTTTGTCTAAGAAGCATTAATGATGTTTTGATACTTCTATTAATTGATTAATTCATACATGCGTTCATATTTGTTTCCAGCAGGACCTGCACATGTGAGATTGATTTTTTGACCAAGCAGTTGGAGAGATTCTTTTTATAGATGACAAATGAGAGCAATATCATGTTAAATTGTGTCCATGTCATCTAAATGTTTAAGTTGTTAGTTTGGTTCAAATTCCAACCGAGATAAAAAGAGTTAGGTAACTTATTCCCATCCGTCTAAACTTTGGTGGATAGAGTCATCTAATAACCAGTAATCCATGCTGGTGGAAGTTAGCAGGTAATCGATGATTAGTCGACATGCACGCAAATTGGCCCGGGCACCACTTTTATTTAAAAGATGTTTAAGCTGTTAAAGGATGGCAACTTTTTTTTATTTGTTTACATTTGCAACTGTTACGTACTTGATAAATTTGAAGTATAGTGATCGAACTACTATGTTACGTACTGAAGCATTCTCCCAGCCTTCTTGGGGCTTGTTTAAAATAATAGATAAAGAATAGATATTTGTTTTATTTATTGGATATTTATTTTAATTGTTTTGCAATACAGACGAGCTGATGTATAATAGAGATTGTTTTACTCAACACTCTATATTTACATATTCTAGATTAGATTGTAGTTTAGGCATCTCCTTTTACTTGTTTTATCCATTACTGATTTAGTGCATTTCTAATGTTCTATATATGCTTTTAAATTACTTGCTAGCTGAATATTAAAACTGTACAAGTATGCTGCCAGCCTGTTTGAATAGATTGGAATTTGTATCTGAGAGTTTCTTCTGTTTTCAAAATGTTCATTAAGGAATTATTCTTGGAAATTGGCAAATCTCATGTACTTAGATTATATCTTATCTTTTGTTGCTGGACATGGTTGATATGATTAGGAGCAATGAATTCCATCTTGACTCCATTTATTTAGTTTTCTTTTGACTCTGGTATTACTTGCAATTCTCTGATTAAATCCTCTAGTTTAGAAAATGTTGCCAATGGGGTCAATTTTAAAGCTTCATAGAACTTTATCAATTTTATTGGAAGCAGGTACTATATTTGGAAGACTGCCCTCCAAAAAAGTATTCTTTGCATGATATGCTGCTTGGATACTAGCTCGTGAAAGGAAGCGCCATCATGAGTTGGTATTGTATGTGGAAGCAGGGTGAAGAAGACACTAATGTGAGCTTGGATCGGAGCTATAGAGTTTAAGGTGTTTCCTATTTAATTCTAAAACAGTTGCAGAGATCCTGTTGAGAGGTTGAGAATGGGGAGAGAGGAGGAAAATGTGTAGGCTAGAACCTTATGCATTTTATGAATGATACATTGATATGGAGAGGTTCTCATGCATCTATCAAGCTGGTCTGGAAAGTGCATTTTTTGCTAGGCAGAAGCCAAGTCTTGAGTTCGAAGAAGCGACTAGATTAGGATTACCTGCGCCACAATACTGCTTAATGGAGGTTGGATCTGATGATTTCAGCATCGCTTATGCAATATTCATGTGATTTTTTGCATGCACAGCCATGGAAACCTACAACGATATGCATTTGTTTTCAAGGGTTGTTTTCAGTCTTTAAGAACTGGATAATGATGAGGAATTTGGTCAACACAATGGAATGTGCCAGGGCTGTAGCAAACACTTCCTGATGACATTTCCGAAGGCAAAATTGGTTATTGTGGTTGTAATGGAAATGACAAAATTCATGTAGGATTTGCAACGAAGTGCTCTCAGGTTTGACCTCTATTGACCCTTTTACAATATGCCTCCTAATCCTTTTGTATCCCACACCATGTGCTGATTGAGTTTTACGGTACTGTGGTTATTTCTTGAGAAATTCTGGAACGTTTGCTTGTTAAAACCCTTCTAGGTTTTCACTATCTTTATTTTACCCTTGAGCACATATTGCTTCATCTATTTGTGGGTGAGTCTTTCCCAAACTATGCTAGATGTTGGGAAATGTGAAAGGTGAGTCTAATTTTTTCTCTGACGACACAGGTTGTATCAAAAGCAGTGATCTTTGCTAATACTTTAGGTTGTAGGCTCTCTTGTGGCTGTTATTCATTTACATGCTGTGGCAACTCAAACAAGCATTAGTTAATAGCCGAAGTAACTACTATATAAACGAACTTTCTGCATTCCGAATGAACTGTATAACCAGACCTTTATATTACAGCCTCTATTTCAAAGTCTGCACTCTAACAACATTACGTATTATCTGGTGTCGGATGATCAGTCAAGAGAACTCCCAAAATGTAATGTCTTTTTTCTTTGGGCAGTTAAGTCTTTGGTGGCTGTGATTTTCGCCGAAGTTGATATTGCTGGCAATGAATTTAGTTTCTTTACTGAAAGGTGCTTGGATCCAAACATCTCGAGAATAGGCACTTAGGTTCTTGATCTCAAGGTTTTAGAAATCAAGGATCAATCACTTCAGGGTGCAGATGAAACCTGAAGCTATATTTCTTATAGAGGGATCGGCATGGGCTTCTATTAGAGTTGGACTTAAGATCCTTGGTGCAAGAACTGGAGATCAAGTTTGAATTATAATAGTCACCAATTCTTTGTGTATTATTTCAGCTGTTTTAGGCTCCTTTGCCTCACTGTCCTTTTTCCTTGGCCTTTTCTGAATTTAAACAAATTTTTTGATAAACAAATGATAAAAGAAGGTTTAATCATTGAACTGTGTGTTATTGATATTTTATACAAGACGCCTAGTATCTACGTCAATATGGTTCATACAGATAAGTGAATTATTTCATAGAAGTCATCTTATGTAATTTCAGCTTCTACTAGCTAAAAGCACTCTTAATGGCCGAGTATCTGGTCCACACTTGTGAATCAAATGAGACTGAATAATCTGAATTGTCTTTACTAGCCAATATTGTTGTTTGGAAAAAAATAATGTACTAAAGTTATTTTGATAAGTAGTGTTTCTGACATGATGTCAGCAGATGCACAAAATTCATGAATTACTATGAGTAAATGGCTATAAAGATGTCAATGATGAAAGGGAAGATCCTGCTTCTTGTATTGGAAGTCACCTGTATTTGTCAGTTAATTATAGAGACTTCCGTTAATATGAAGAGCACGGACCGTTGATTTTAATAAAAGGGAGGAAAAAACTGAAAAGCTTCTTCAGGTTTAAAGTTGGTTTTTGACATGCAGAATCACATGTTGAGAGGTAGTACTTCCTTTAAGATTTTCCTTTTACAACGATCTCATCTCAGATCAAGACCCTGTACCCCTTGTTCAAGAGATATACATCAATGAAGCTAGTATATCTGTCTGCTATATATGATACTTCTGTCGTCCTTTCATATATTTTTTCACCAATCCCTAAGTTGTCTTCTCTTTATGTATACATTTTTTCTTCTTCTTTATTTACATTTTTAATAGAACAAAATTGAAGCAAAGAACCCTTGCAGGCAATACGAACTAGTTGGGATTCAGGCCTAGTTGTCATTTTTGATTAGGCCTGGGTATGGATAATTGTAAGACTTAAAGAACCACTAGTTTTATAGAACCCCTAATTTGTCTTAAAAGACAAACATCATGTCTGGTTACTTACCAATATTGGGATGAATTAGGTCCTGATATAGAGGATTCATACTCCATCTAGGTTGGGATTGAGACGTAGTGATTGATTGATTGATTTATCCTTTTTTCCCCTCTTCAATTCAAGCTATAATTTGATCTGTCTTCTCTATTTTTCCTCATCCTATTGCTCAGTTTCCTCCTTTTCAAAAGCTCCTGTACCTCCAGTTATGAATAACTTCAGGATGTTCGAGATTCAGGCCCTTATCACTGCTATAGCACTGCTTGTTTAACATTGCTGCTTTATATGTTGACCCACTTAAAATGATATTAAAGCAGTATTCTATTCGTAGACTTCCAAAGCTGAATCCTTGCTATATAAACCACATTAGGGACGTGTCAATAGCTTGTCATCTGTTTCTGTCAGCCATTCATGTTGATGGTCTTACCTGTTGATGGAGCATTATGTTTGTGTTAGGATCTTCCAAAGCCCTTGATTGTTTGAGTTCTTAAATGCCCTAGCAGGTTCAGAACCATGAACTTTCTGGTGCAAATGGAATAAGTCGATGATCGCTTAGCTCTCACTTGGTTCGTATGAATCTAAAACCGTTTACTTTAATTAGACAAGTGATATTCCGAATATACTTAAGTTGTAAGTTCTTTTACTTACGATTTGCCGAAATCCATCTTACATAAACTCTTCATTTGCCTTGATATATACACTTGTGCCAAACAGGTATAACGTGGGTATAGGTACTTCATATAGATCCTTCAAGATACACTAAAAGTTTGCTAAAGGTTTAACCTATCCAACCAAATACTTACCAGTTACCTGTACGTACTCATATCCAAGTTCATGCAACATAGTTTGAAACTTATGTTCTCTAATGTTCAGTTCTCTAGTTTGTGGATAAGGGACAACAGGAAAAACTACTTCACCTAAAATGTATATCCTAAGTTGTGGACTTCTGTATCAAGCACTATAAGAAACCTAAAAAAGGTAGACTCTTGCGAGCATAATGGCAATTTATAATGTTTAGCACAAGAAAATATAAGTAGCAAAATTCTTAGAAAGATAGAAGAAGATAACTAGTAATAGCTTTATGAAAATATTTGTAACAGGCTTTTTATTCACGAATAATTAGAGGGTCCACCTTCCATAAACACTCAATTACGGGAGTAATAATAGTGACTGAAGCCTTGGGGCATGATTAAATCCAAGACTTGTTCATCTGATCAAGCTAGATCTCTTTATGTTATATAACTGGAGTTAGAATTGAACAGAAAATGAATGTTGATGGAATCAGTTTAAATTGTTGCATTTCTGTGAAAATACCTTTGCTTGTCACATTTCTATGGAGATTTTATTCAGAAGTAATCCGCCTTTAGCTGTTCAGTTTTGGGTTTTCAATAATCAAGACAGGTATCTCAGTTGTGTTTCTTCTGAATGATCATACTACTATGGTTTGCAGAAGTTAGAGTGCTTTCTAGTTCATGCCTCATTAAGAATCTAGTTTTATTAGGATTTGTCTTTTAATATGGTGAGATGGAGAAGTTCTGTTTCTTTCTAATAAAAGATATGGTGTAGATGGAGAAATATGAAAAGATGTCATCCCCCTATTTAGTAGGGTAAGTTTGAGGTTTCACTTTACTTTACCTTATAATAAAGAAAGTTTATTGAGGTTTCACTTTATTTTACCTTATTTAAAAAAAAGTTTATTGAGGTTTCACTATCTTTGCTTTAGGGTCCCGATGTTCAAGACATTCTGCTATATGGTGTGGGGCTAGGAATGAGAGCTTGGAATTACATGGTGCCAACCACCTTAGTTGCTCACTAGTCGCCATCACCTAAAGGCTGAAGGAAACCCTCATTGGAATTACCTCTCTAGATAACTAAAAAGGGCAGCTTCCAGGAAAGAAATTAATCATATTCTTGACAGTATAATCATCTTTCTTGCACATTTGCATTATGTACCTTTTGCATGTGACTTACCCCTTTATGTTGATTGGAGGTTAGACATCAAAGATGAAGGATACATAAACTAGAAAATTGAGTATGGTTGGGTTAGACATTGCAGCTCGAGTGGAAAGATGTGTATTTTTTAATTGGCACTTTATTTTTGCACATAAAGTGTCATGATGTTGGCTCAGTGCATTACAAAAAGAATTAGGACATACCAAAGACAAGAAAAACAAATGCATTTAAGTGCTTGTTTGAGGTGTGCGTCAGTTTTGTATGGTTTTCTTAAGGATTGAAGGAGCGGAGGGCCCTAAAAGGTTCTTACTCTCAAAAGATCGGTGAATGCACAAAATTGAGATACAAGATTGACATAAGTGCCTAGTAGAGTGGCAAACAAATCTTTGTATTTTTCTGTCTTTTAAATTCAAAATATAATTGAAATTTTTTGCAGAGTTGAGGAAGGGGGCTTGAACTAGCAGCATAAAAGCAGTCCTCCAACCGTTACAGGGAAGGATGGGGACAGGACATCCAAATGGGACATGGAAATCTATATAGCAATCAAGGTAGTAGGTCCCTCTGCTCCCTCACCACCCACGCCCTCATGTTATTGGATATCAGCATCCCCTAAAACTCCCGAAATTTCAGCTCCCAAAATAAAATATGTTCGTTCATTTTGGACTTGCTAAAGCTGTGTGGTTCTTGGTTCTTGGTTTCTCATATAACGAAAAAAGCTAAAAGGAAAAAAAAAATGAGAGTAGTGAATAAATTGGGAGTAATGGTAGAGCTCATACATTTCGTGGTGATCTTAAATGAGTTTGCAGATTGTGAAATGAATGAAGTTAGGAGGACCCCGCTTATTTACTCTGTCTTTGTTTTTAAAATTTGTCCTGCATTCTCATTAATGTTTGTGTGCAGGTTGCAGTATATGCTAACTAATGCATCACCCCCTCTGCCCTTAACAAGACATTCATTTCCCTATTGGAGTACTAAGCTTTACTTACTTCCACTTGGACAAAAAATAAAAATAGAAAAAGAGAATACGATAACTACCTTATTATGGTTGGGCCGCCAACTTTTGAAATAGAATTGCAATTGTCTATGAAAATGAATGAGCTCAAATTTGGAAATCCTTAGATAGTGGGAAAACTGAAAAGTTGGTGATATGCACAATGTATCAATTACATCTCAATTTCAAACTAATTTAGATTGTTTATATGAATTAATTTATTTTCATTATGTTCTATTTGGACCCGTCTTGATCTAATATGATAAAATAATGTATTTTAAGTTAGATATTCTTTATGTTACACTTATTTCTTACAATGGGATACAATCTCAACAAGACTCAGAAAAATTCAGACGATAATCCTTACTAGTCAGTATTTCTTATGTGGATTCTTTGCTTCCATTGTGTCGTGTTTTTAGATTAATTTGCTTCGATTTTGAAAGATTTTAACTCTTTTGCGATAATTCTTCTATTTGATTTTAGGTCTACCTCTTTTTTTTTTTTAGCACACATTATTACGTCCTCCTATCATACCTATGGACTGCTTTATTTGGAGTTTGACGTAGAAATCACAATTCATAACAAGCAACTTTCTCTTATTTTATATCTGTGTGCGCGCTTTATACCCTTGTCTAAGTGATCATGTTTATTTGTCCAATAATGTATTATCACACATACATCCTAATATCTACATTTTACGAACCTTATCTTGTGGATATGTTATGTATTAGAGGTTCAATATTGAATCCTAGATACCGCCTCCGTTCTCATTTAATTGTCATGTTTATTAAAAATATTGTTCCTAAGTATTTGTCATTTTAGAAAATCAAGAAAAACAAATTATTCGTTTCACCTTTATCCTTACTCTAATAAATGTGAAAATAGATTAATGTAGTGAAAGCAAGTAGTAATAAATTGAGACCAAAGAATAAATAAGGGTAATTTAGTCAAATTATGTTTTTAATTAATTATTTTTAAGGGGTGTGTAAAAAGCAAACATGACAGTAAAATAGAACGGAGGGAGTAAAATTGCTGCTTGTTACATTGTGTTAGACTATAATGGCGGAGGTGCAATTACACCTCCAAAACATCTAGTCTTGTGAGTTCCTTGTCCATTTCATTTTGCTTGTCATGTTTGCCTTTGGCACGCATCTTAAAAAATATCAATTCAAAGTATAACTTGACTTAATTACCCTTATTTATTCATTGATCTCAATATATTACAACTCTTGCTTTCAAGATATAAATTTATCCACATTTATTAGAGTAAGAGTAAACGTGGAAAAGAATAATTAATTCTTTCTTGATTTTCTAAAATGACAAGTATCTTGGAACAAATTATTTTTAGTAAATATGACAACTAAATGGAAACAAAGGGAGTACATAGAACTGAATGAGCAAAGAAAGAGTAGCACCATAAGAGGTTAGCTAATTTTCATAGGCAGCTATGAAAATTTTGAACAATGGAAACTGAAAAGATGCTGGAAAATGGCAAACGCGGTTCGAATAGTTGTGAACATTGAGATCAACTTTGGGTTTGCTTTCATGGACTGCTGAGGGTCTTACAAACAACAACCGCTCGCTGAGGAATTTAAGTGGGCGTTTGGACATAAGAATTGTAAAATTCCAAAAAAAAGTGAATTTTTTTTCAAGTGAAAATGATATTTGAAAATTAGAGTTGTGTTTGGGCGTGAATATAATTTTGGCTTGTCTTTGTAGTTTTGGGAGTGATCTGAGTGAAAATTTTGTAAAACAGTTTTTTGGAGTTTTTCAATTTTTCGAAAAATCTTCAAGTGAAAATTGAAAATTTTATTGCCAAACATTGATTTCGAAAAAAAGTAAAAAAAATGAAAAAATTCTTATGTCCAAACGGGCTCTAAGTCTTCTAGCCTCTAAGTTTGGAGGACAAAATTTGTTACAAACAATTAGCTTGCAGTGAATATATTAGCTTATAGGTGAAAAGTAAGGTATGATAAATTTGCAATAAAAGGCGCTAAGCGAAGCAGAGGCATTTAATGATGTCTGTCTTTCCTAGTTTCATCCAAAACTTGTACCGGACTCGGGTAGTTCACTACAAGAAATGGGTTAGAGAACAAGGATCTCTGTTACCGGAATATCCTAAAACCTTGTAAGCTTGTGTTATCCAGCATCTGATCTTGTTGGCTGTTAAACCCACCCGAGCATTTTGGTATGACCTATGTTGCTCAGACTCTTCGAAAATATTGTAGAGTGTGTGTCAGATCCTTCAAAAGTAATGCATTTTTGGAGGATTCGATGCGGGTGCGGTAGCATTTTGGAGAGTCTGCGACAAGATAGGCTATAACAAGGAGGTGTATAACAGCTCTTGGGAATTCCAACTTACCCTATGATGAATTCAAGCTAAATTTCTCGTTATTACTTTATATTTAGTTATTTCTGTGTTTGTTGTGGCAAATTACCTTCTAGCTCCTTCATTCTTGCTTCTTGTTCTGGGTGGTGCATGCATGCAGACAAGTATGCGTGCACAGTGAAAGAGAGAGCTGGAAAGGGTTGGTGAGGATGGTAAATGCGAAAGTTGATTTCTGAACGAAAATATAGGAGTAAAAGGTCATTGTTTTGTTTGGAAGCGGAGTAATAGCGATGTGTTTAATTAGTAGTATATACTGATGCCTAAAATAATCTTTACGCTATCAGATTAATTACATGGAGTTGTACATGTAAAGCGAGATCAGTAACATGAAAAATAAGGCAGATTATGGCTACGACAGGTTAAAACATATATATTGATGTGTAAAAATTTTTCTACACTATTAGTGCATAAAAATTAAATCCACTAGTAGCAAGGATTAAAAGAGGTTATTTATAGCAACATATTAAAATATCATATCGTATAAAAATTGTTATACACTATATATTGATCGTGTTATATTCTTTTATAATATTACTAGATTTTAAACTGTCTTAGCAGACAACTTAATCTTAGTTTCTAACCTATTGATTTCACTTTTTAATTTCTCACGGTTACATGTAGTTATTTTTTAGATTATCTGATCGTATAGAAATTCTAACGAACAGTAACAGTAACAGTAGTGAAGAAAACGCACTCCCATGCAGTATCCCTTCTCCCACTTACCCATTAATGCATTTACATCTCGCCCGACTTTCAGGCCATTCTGCCACCCTATTCTCTCTTACTCATTATATGTGTTTTTGTGCTCCTTTCACTTTCTCTATCACAAATAGAACCACAGAAAAAAAAAAAAAAAGAGAGAGAGAGAGAGAGGGACTAATAAGTACTATAGCTAGTATTTGATGCTTTGCTCTAACATAGAAACTTCAAATTGCTTTGGAAAAAAATATTAAAAATCATCATAAAAAGGCACGGAAATGCCGTGTCTGCGCATTGAAAGCTCTCTCTAGAATTCATTTAAGCAGTGTCTCAAGAGACAAGTTGCAGATGTTGCCCACTTGGGCCCTCTTCACTGCTCTTCCATCATCTTCTTCGTCTGCATTTCCATCTCTCATTTACTACCTCTCTTCTCTATCAGTACACCAATTACCTTACATAATTTACACACCACTTTGCATTTTGTCGCTTTGCATTTAACTCCTTCATGTATGCAATGCATATCTTTTTGTAACTACTCATCTTTTGCTTTTTGTTCTTTCTCTATCTCATACTAACTCCTAATATCTATCCTCGATTCCCTCCTCATATTGCCACTTTCCCTACTGTCTTATCCACCTTTGCTAATAAACTTCTTTATGCTGAGTGTGTTAATTTTTTTTTTTAATTATTAGATCATCTAAATGATAACTACAAGTAATTGCTCTAAGCAGAATTCGTAGCACCAAGATTGTAACCTAGTGGTTTCTTAGGTTCGCATTCCGGCAGAGGTAAAACAAATATTAGGTGATTTCTTCCCATTCGTCCAATAATTGGTGGACAGGATTACCGGTACCTATGTTGTTACAACATATAAAATTACACTGATAATGTAAAAATTCTTTTGCAATGTCATCGTGTATAAGTTAAGACCCTTTTGAATTTTATCCTCTACGAACATGTTCTGTAGTTTGTAGCAGGGAATAATCACGGAATTTACGGTTGAGGTCCATATACAAAATTAATACTGCAGGACGAAGAAAGTCAGGGAATTAATTCATATAGTAAGAAAAAGAAACATCATTCAGTAGTTTGATTGTTTAAATTTCAAACTGTTCTCAAGTTTGGAATTTAAAATCTTGGGAATGATTTATGTATAACATTTTGACATATGTCTATCGACATGTGTGACAAAATATGATAAGCAATACATTGGACAATGGAGAAGATAAGGTTCTTAATGATTCGTGTTCATTTAGCCAATTTCAACCCTCAAAGGCAGAGTACTGGTTTAGAGTCCGCCTCACCCCCCAAAAATATAAACGTAATATAGAGTTTGATTACCTTTTAAAGTACAAAGAAAACAATATCCTTTAAAATATATATATATATATATATATATATATATTACTAGCAGTTCAGCTTAGATTATTATTTCAAAATCCTATCCCTTGAGGAGGAGAATGACTAAACTCGAGACCAAGCTTAGAATATATAAAATTCCAACGTTATACTTATTTCTAGTTACCCAGATATGAACTCAAAAATTCTTAGGTGGGAATGATGTAAAACACCAACTTCAATTCCAATCATCCATCTTGTGCTACAGTATTAAAATGGAATACTTTGATTAACATAGTTCGAAAGATCAAACCCAATCACATAAGTTTGAAAGCCTACATTGACTTAAATGTGTCGGGAATACCTACATGCGGCATGAAATAAGGATTAAGGTTAGAGGAGGATCCAGGATTTTAGGTTTATGGGTTCCTACAAAAATCTGAGCTAATATACAATATTAACTTGATGAACGGACTGGGTTCCAAGCTAAATATGCTTATATATTTAATGAATTTTTTAATACTAATACAGGTTCTAGACAAAAGCTACTGGATTCACGGGAATCCTTAGTCTGAATCCGCTCCTGATCAAGGTACAAAAACAAACAAATGCTAGCAAGCTACTGAAAAGGTAGGTTTAGACCATTAAAGCGTTCTTAAAAATGAAAGAAACATATAGTACCAGAATCATAACATTTAATTCTTGATCCCTATTTGGATATATATATATATATATATATATATATATTACTTTCACGGTCTCAAGGAAATATGGGAACTATATAAACAATATTGC